TCACTTTGTAGGTTGCTCAATGCCTCTCCGAGCTTCCCTCTCCTCTTTTAATCATCCGTTCTTTTGTTGTTTTCTAGCAATATCTATAACGCTCGTTCGCAAAAATATAAAACAAATTAATTACGATTAGCACAAAATCACAATACGATTTTTTGCACGGCGTTTTCGAATCGACAGACATGCGCTTTGTTATATCGAGATAAATAACGCAACAACACTATGATAGTTATGACAAGTTATGATTCGACAATGTCTCACACGCACACATGAGAATTTTTATTTTAACAAATATATATACGTCAAAATACCATACTGTATATATGACGACAACGTACACTAATCAAACGCGTCGCAATGCCACTTTATTCGCAGTCGGTCTGTTTAGTTTTGCTAGTAATCAAGAAATTCGTCAGCTTGATATTGTCGATATTGCCGATTGATAAAACCGAAGTAACGATTAAATGAGACACGATGGATCGAAAATCAAACGTATATAAATTCTACGAGAGGAACATACATATTATTAATAAACAGTTGCTAAAATATGGTTTTCCGTTACGTTTAAATCACTTGCACGAGCTCCTGTGATTCGGATGCGGTGATTTATGTCTCAAAATGCAATTATGTTTAATTGCAAAAAAATTAGAAGCGCAACGCGAGATACATTCGAATCCGAGCGTCGCGGGAGGAACAATTGCCTGTAAATATCGCGAAATGATGATTTACAGTTCGAGTTTCCTATTTCCTTCCGCAAGTGAATGAATCGATACGCTTTATCGTGAGACGATAATCGCTATTTGCTCGCGTTCTCTATGTTTATATGTACCTGTCGCAATTGCGTAATCGAGAGGTAATGATGCGGAGCAACTTGCTTTACTTACTCGCTCGAGTCTTATCGCACGAATGACAACCACGGTTACCACTCTTTGATTTTTGATCAGAGAGAAATTCCGGTTTTTTTAACGAATCTTCAGGATTTCCGGGATTCTAGATGGATAAAACCTTCTATTAACCTTCTATTAATGCTGTTCTAAATTTCGATAATTTTTTTTTTAATTTCACACTCTCGGAACCTTTGAGTAAATCATCTCTCGCTAGTTCTCTCTAAACTTAATTATTCAATCATTAAATAATATATAATTAATTATATAATCATTAAATGTATCGTCAAATTTTATAAAGTATTGATAGACCTCCCACAAATTGGTTTTTGTTTTGTACTTGACTGACCAATCATGTGCCAACGTACAGTGTATCAAAAATATAACTTATAAGAGGATATTTATTCCGGGGAACGTTTGACCTTTTATTCTGTTGCTGAAAATGACTCAAAGTCGAAACGTTCAACCAAGTAATTTCAATAAAGAACACTTTTGCACAAATTACTTAATGTTCCACGCTCTAAATAAAACTCTCATTTTTACGTTTTAATTGTTTACAATTTCGAGAGTGTTTTAGAATTTATTTACTTTTTTCGAAATAAATGTATCGATTTTTCCTCCGGTTTCCAAAAGAAATCTAGGGAAGATCAAATCTGATAACTTCTCTTTTAAAGAGAGCGCACAGATTACAACAATTTCGGCAATGATAATCGAGTTCCAGCAGGAAATACTAGTTGAAAAATGATAACCATAAACACGACGAATAAGTGCTCGATTTTGCAATAATACGGTATGTACATCACCAAATATACATCAAAAATGTATTGCTTATCAGAATGTATTACTTACTAATAATCGAATTTTAATTATTAATATATTCCTTAAATAATTATTAATATCTTTACAGATTAATTATTAATAATCAATGTGATTTGAATAATGACTCGATTTAAATAATAGAGAACATATGCAAATTAGATCGAAAAGTTTAATCAATAAAGAAAGTTACATTTCAATGTAGACATTAAGAAAATATTCGTCGTCCGTAAATCTTGAAACAATTTATAATTACAATTTTCTGTCGGTGCAATTTATATTTTAAATAAATAAATCGCGCCAAATGTTTACTTAGATAATCGTCTTGTCGGCACAGCTGTTAGTCGTATTAATTAAGCAAGTTTATTATTTGATTTGTATTCACATTGCAATTATTTGCAAGGGATAATCGGGTTTCGAGAGATAATAATACACCGAGCGGATCGCATCGTTGCACTTGCCTGCTGGAATATCGCCGCACAAATGACAAGGTAATCGCGTGTAAACAGTGAGCCATATGATGCGAAGGATCATACAAGTATATACCAGGCAATCCGTTAGATACGAAATTTTTTACGTTTTGATATAAATGTCTGTTCCTTGAATTTTTAATTCCTGATTTACGAATTATCGCGCATTAATATCTACGTTTGTTCGAAGAATAAGAGTCAGTTTGATTGTAAAATTACGTTAATTATTACTAGATAAAATACTAATTTATTACTATGTGAAGTAATAGAATTTATTGTTAACTTTTGCTAAATTTTGTTTACGATAGGAATAATATTGCGAGATGTTAATAAATTAAGAACTTTTTTTTAATAAATAAAAAAAAAATGAAATAACATCACCGTGGAAAATGTGACGTATGTTTTCTAATCTTATTAAAGTCATACAATTTCATTAATCTGGACATAAAGATTCGACAAAAAAAAGTAATAATAATAAATTATAATCACTTTTTCATTTTTTACATAAAATGAAAATAAATTTTACATTTTATATTTAAATTTATGCATAGATACATTATTTTGGAATAGAATATTTTATTTATTATATATTTAAATTTTTATTACAAACATTATTAATTTGCAAGTAAAAGAGTTTATTTATTTATTAAAATTTATTGTTAATAACTATGTCAATATTTGCTGATTATTATGTATGTAATATTTATTATACATAAAATATCAAAAAGATAAAGTCAGTCAAACGATAAAAATCAATATCATCTGAACTGTGAAAATCGACAACAGACAGATCGGCACGTGTATAAACATTGTTAAGGACTTGCGTATTTTACGCGATATTCTTTTGTCAATTTTCGTTTAAAATTAAAAAATGTTGCCTTTTAATATTCACGTATTAATATTTGTAATATTCTATAATTAAACCATATACGACATAATGTACGCTTACACGATAAGAATATTTAAAAATTTAGCTAGATACGGATCTAAAAATAATTTTGTTGGATTATCAAAATAATCATGTAGGGCGTTCAAACTGCCTGTTAGAATGTCAAAACTTTTTGCAACGTTATCATTAATAATACTTAAGTGTTCTACGTAATTATTCTAATGGCCTAACGAAATTATTTTCAGATCTGTATCTAGCTACATTTTTACTTAAGCAAACCTATTCTTTTCGTGAATATTTGCTCTTTAATTTTTATCCTCAACGTCAGAATCGTCCGTTTTTATTTATTTAAAACTGCTCGAGTTCTTGATTTTTCTTTATTTTCGAATAATAAAGACACAACTATAGATAGGATACTCGTTACAAATTTAAGAGGAAGTACATTAAGAGGAAGTGCAGTGTTTTGACGATCATTTTTTAAACATTTTCTTACTCGATTCGACGAGTGCAAGACGGAGTGCGACGTAAGTTATACGCGAGTTTCTCACTCGCGTATCCGCAGTTAAACAGCGGAGTTAAGCGGCGGAGTAACGTACGGCGAATAATTTATCGCGTGTCCAGTTTTCAGCGAACCAGCGGTAATGCCTGATGCACGCGAAATCGCGAATTCTCTCCTGGCAACGATGACGGCAGTCAAATGATTCATGCATTTCCGCGTGAATCTATTATCGCTGCCGAGTATCGTCGTTTGGCGTTTACGATATGCGTGCCGGCGTTCACGTCCAAGTGCAGTAATGCCTATAATTTGTACGTTTGCTTAGTGCAATTATCGGCGGTGAGCGTAACAGTATCTTAAAGTGAGCACTTGAAGTGAAGGGCAGCCGACTCGCCAGATATAATTGTTTCGTATATCATTACACTTGTAATATGTCATCTGTATTTTTTTTTTCTAACGAAGGTCGCATTTGCGTTACAAAAGAAAAGAAAAATTGCTACCGTTACGTTCGACAATTACTTGCCAGTAACTTCGCGGAACGTTTAACTTTATCGCCTGGTAGCGGAATTTCGACGCGATTGAGATTATATCGGTACGTCGAACATTGAAGATCACAACCCACCCAATTTATCCCTTTTATATCTCGAAAGGAGATATCGTGACGAATAACGGCTTTCTCTCCGCTCTAGTTGAGTAGAACTACAGTCGTAACTCGAGAAGGATGACGTCGCGCGGTATTGTACAAGGTGTACTGAAAAAAAAATCGTTAGTTCTTCTTTTTCATTAGCCATAACTTTTGCCATAAATTTTTGTATAAATCTTTGTCTAGTGAATATTCGCGATCGGATGCTATCATGAGTTTTCACGACTTTTAAGAAGTTAAATATCTACATAATCCAGCTTTAAATCAAAATTATACGACGACAAAGTATATTTCAAGTTAAACGTTTCTCAAAAAGATGTATAGCAAATCATTTTAGTTAGTTTTATGAGTGTGTTTCAAACTTTTGTAATTAAAAAAGATATCAAACAAAAAAATCAGTAGTCTTGATGTTGTTTATATGGAAAAATTTATTTTGCTGATACATTAAGCTGGATACAGATCTAAAAATAATTTTAAACCATCAAAATAATTATGTAGAAAACTTAAGCAAGAAAAACAATGCCGTAAAAAGTTTTAATGCTTCAGCTTGAGCCTCCTCTGCACAGTTATAATCCGACAATATTATTTTCAGATCTGTAACTAGCTAAATTTTTAGATAGCAAAATTATTTTTTCTGTATAGTATTTATTAGTATTTATAATTTAAAGAGAATGTGCGAGTTCTGATACACCTTGTATAAAGAATGAGACATGCGTTACGGTGGTCAGACTATCTACGTGTACAGTTCTACGTGAGCGATACGTACAAACAATGACGTAGCTGAGATATACAAAGAAAAACTTACGTTCTGGAAGTCGTCCGTGGGAATGTGGATAGTCGAGTTGTTTCCTCATGCTTCTTAGATACCTGAGAAAACAATGATACCGATCTTTGTAGTGCATATTATACATGCAATGTCGCATTTATTATTAGAGTTCATTAGAACATCAATTAGACTAATTACGAAATGAATGTGATGCCACATCTTACGATATAATGAAATCCGATCATCATGAAATCATTACAGATTTGTAACTGTCAATTTAGGTCGTAAGAGAATCTAAGAAATGATGATTTCTAGCTTATTATTCTTGAATATCGTGATATTATATATACATCACATCATAATACATATATGATATCATTGTGTACTTTCTTTTTATATAAAAAGAAATATTTTATAGTAAAAAAATGAGAAAGTACAAATTCATGAATTTTTTCTAGATCTTCTAACATATCACATTGACTGTGTTTAGCAGAGAAAACTGATCAATGAACGCTCAATGATTCTTTAATGTAATTAGTTCCTACATTTAGATCCAGCAAACAATTAAAGGCAAGAACAAATCATATTAAAGAATCACTGACTGTTCAATTTTCTCTGCTGAATACAGCCATTCTACCTTGTTTAATTAAAGATACTGACAATTAATTACGGAAATTTTAATCTCTACTACCATTATTCTTTAATAATTTATTAAATATTATTATAATAATTTTGTAACTATTCATTGAAAAATTGATTTTATGTCTTTTCGTCATAGATGCTACCAAAATTGATACTCCTGCTCTGGGCGGCAATTCCGATTGCGTTGTCCCAGAGCAACTATGCGTCGCAAGGTAACAGCATCGAGTATCAGCCGGGACTTCCGCCGAGCACAGTCCTCGACGGCAAAGTTACCAAATTGGATGACATCTCGCCGATTATATTTTTGAATCGAACGAAAGCCTATCTGAACTGCGGCCAGGGTAGCATGGAGGTCGAGCTCAAGTTTGAGGAACCGTTTTACGGAGTGGCCTATGCCGACTTTGATCGCAACAGTGCTTGCATATTCAAAGGACGAGGTGCAACGACCGCTAAATTGGAACTACCTCTGAAAGGTATGCTCCTATATTAAATTTGACATTTAACCTCGCGGCATAACATTTCACAGAAATGATGATAAAAAGGATGAGTAAATTCTGAATCATTCTGAGATTTACAATAGAACCTTGTTTATCCGAACTTGTCGGGGGATAAGATAGTTTTCGAATAATATAGACTCATCTTCCCTATCAATATTTATTAATTTTGATGATAAAAGTTGAATTCAGAAAACGGTCGTGTAATTAATTCGGATAATAAAAGCTTAGATATGAGTTCATACGTTTGGAACTGAGCACAAACTTATTCATATAGAAGGTAGATAAACAAAGTTCTACACATTATTTCTCAATTAAAAAAAGAATAGTAAATCATAAATACGCAATAATAATGTAATTGTTCTAAATTCAATTTATGTTAAATGATTTTAACGTAATGTAACTTTCATTTAAGACAAATATATTAATATTCGACGATTTGAAACTGATTTAATTGTTTTGGTTTCACTTCTACTATTATTTTTTTGTTTTGTTTCTAATTCATATATAATATAATCATTTTACTTGTTGCTTATTTAAGTTGTTTATTTAAAGTATTTTCATTTTTATTTAACTTCTTATCGAAATTGATCTAATATTTCAGGATGCGGTACAAAACAGGATCCTCTGCGCGTGTTCACCAATAATGTAGTTGTTCGCTTTCATCCCGGATTAGAGATGGATGGAGATGAGGTTATCACTATAGTATGCAGATATCCTCCACCTGTGGCACCGGCGCCTCCTAAACCGCCAGAAAGCATGTAAGAATCCTGTGTAGAAATTTTCTTTATTATTATTCTCTTCGCGAAAAATTTATTCTCAAATAGGTTTTCTGTGAAAATTAAAATTTGTTGGAACCGAATATTACAATTTTTAATTTATTAAGTTACATGCATAAGTTATTCATATATTAATTTTATGCTTTAAATAAATGTAGATGATATTGTGAACAGTATCGAATTTATCACGAAACGCGATTTCTTTCTAATATATTTTTTAGAAGATATTCAAGATAATTATTTTTTTATGTTATATCTCATCATACTTAATAATATAATTTCATAAAAAAAAACGAGTAGATACATACTTAATAGATACATACATATATATTTAAAATAATTATAAAGTAATCCATTTATGATTAACATTTTCCGAATAATATTTTTTTTTGCCAAAAAAATTCATTAATAACTATCAATATATTACTGACTTGACTGTTGTCATTAATCCAAATTTAATGCGTGAGGTGTATTATTAACATTTAATGAAACTTTCTACCTAATCTTTTAAACATTTGCGAAGAACACGTTCAATATCGCTGAGTTTGCCTTCTCACTGCGTCGATCGAACTGAATAAAAAAGTAATTCTGTATTCAGAACGTACTGTGACGATGCACGCCTTTGTCTCCCGCAATCTAGTTACGCATACGGATAGGTGTGAGATATACTCCGTGCACGGTTAACTGCGGCATCTAATATCGATGCCGTTTGCAGCAGTCTCCTCATCCAGAATCGCGTTCATCCTGCTCTAATCTGATTTCCATCCACAGAATGGCCACTCTGACGCCAGCGTCGGTGACCGAACCACCGCTGAAAGGCTTCCAGATCTTGTTGATTATCTGCGCTATTCTGTTCCTCTCATTGCTCCTGCTCGGTCTTGGCTGTTCCTACATGTGTCTGAAACGACGAAATGTGCGTGTGGTCCATCGACATCCGTTCGAAAGCGCCACTGGTTCTGAGATAACGAAGCTCTCCGGCTCATCTCTGAGCAACATCACGATGTTCGAGGGTCTGAAGATACCACGAGCGCACGCTCTTCTTCACGCGACTGCCGTGTCTACTTCCGGCAGCGAGGCGAATCTGGTGATCGATCATTCGGACACATTGCCAAGTGATTACCCAAGCGAAAGTCACTCTGAGGTGAGGCCCAATAATTGTCTAACAAGACGGATGATTGCACAGAATATATTAGAAAAAAATATAAAAACACATCATCGCTATTAATTCTTTTAACAGCGAACTGTAACTGTATATACATATAAAGCTTCTAAATTTTCGTTGTCTCAATTAACCGGTATAGAAATTATTTAAATTTATTCGAACAAAATTGTTGTTAGCAGAATTTATTTGAATAAATTGTTTAATATCTATTCATTGTTTAAATAAGATAATGTTCATTTTATTATTACACTGCAAATTTAATAGTGTACATTTTTTATTATTACACATCACTTTACAACATGAAAAAGAGTCCCAAGTTTAAATTTTGATATTTTTCGCAATAAGTTCTTGTGTTAATGTATTAGCATCATTACTGAATTAACGTAATTTATTAATTTATTTATGTAATTTATATGATGTTATTTCTAGCTTCAGTTTATGATTGCGTTTCAAGCCTGAAACAGAATCAGCGTAGAGTTTATAGAACCAAAAAATGCAAATTTGTATATGAATATTATTGAGCACCAAGATTTCGCCTCGACCGAAAATAGAATTCTTTCTCTTATTTGATTTAGTAAAAAAGACAATTCCTGAAGAGCTCTCTCTCTTAGTAAAAAATTTCAAATAAAAGAAAACAATTGCATAATCGATATAATATATTACGATTTGTTTGTTCATCTGCTTTTATAGGTGGATGAGGAACGTTCGTTACCTGTATCCTCCGCCGGATCCTATGATAATAAAGCATTCATAGACCATCATGAGGTCCAACGTCAAGTGGAAATGCGTGCTTCGAGCTCCTTATATTCAGAGACAGTTGCTGCCGAAGTGGAAACTTCCTCCATGACAGCTGCGAATGCTTCAAGAATCATGGTGCCGCGACATCCTGTAGCCGTTCCGATTGAACCCAAGTTCGACGTGCAGATGAGAGTTAAGAGAGCACCACCCCCACCGCCGAGCCCGCTGCCATCGGAATCGGACGTTGCGAGTATCGCCCTCGAGAGAAATCTAACGACCATTCTGGAGAGAGAAGAGACTTCTCGCTCTCTCGAAAGTGCACCCTATCGAATGACGACCTTCTCCTACGTACCCGAGCTTCACAGACCACCAGGAGGCGTGTCACCTGTCTCGACCATCTCTCGGCAGCAGACACCGCCAGTCTATTCCAGGATTCTACGCAAACAAGCAGAGAGAGAGACCACCGTGATCCAAGAGAAACTCCCGTCGCCAACGACCGAACAACCGCCGTTGCATGAGATTCGTCGGCCAAGGTCTCTGACTTCCTTGAACACCGAGCTCACCGAGACTCGCTCGTTGACGGAAGTGACGGACGCCTCGCATGCCAAGTACCGGGTAGCAAGCATTCTAGCGCCGACCCCACCGCCGCCGCCCCCAATTGTGCCTACCACGTCCACCACCACTACTCACACCGCCGTTCAGCATCGCGAGCACCGTTTGTTGCGCGAGGAGATGACTGAACCACTGGTCGAGCCGCAGGTAGTTGCGCCTCGCCGTCCAGAAATCACGACTCACGAAGTGGACGATGTGTTCCTACGTACCGTTACGGAGAAGAAGACGATCGAAGATGTGGAGCGTCACAGTCGCCAGATAACCGAGTATCGCGCCAGATCTCAACCGCCGGATCTCAAGTGGGACGTCACCATCAGGAACTATCCGACGGAGAATTTGCCGCCGCCACCGCCGGAATGGGAGAACTTCTCCGATGTTAGCTCGGCCTCCAACTTGACCATCACGAACGAGCCAACGAATCATTTGGCAGACGACGAACTGGATGTAAACATCGAACCGACTTATACCACGCGCGCTGAGATTCCATGCCGGCCACCACCTACGCGCCGATCCCTCGACGACGCCGATGCTGATTGGTACACTAGGTTGGCACGCGTCTTGGAGCCGCGTTATGCCACGGAGTTGACGGATGAGGAGCGTGCCAAGTGGCGCGAAATCATCACGACGGAAAGCACGCTGCGGACTTTGTTAACCGAAGCAGTGGTTAAAGAGGATTACGAACTGATACGCAAGGATGCGAGATACATTAATTTGTTCCCGCCAGCGAAATGGGATGTGATCATCCGAATCCTAAGTCCGCCATCGATGCACCCTGGCTCCACCTCGTCCTCCAGTCACGGCAAGAACCATGGGCAGAGATACAAGCGGTCCAAATCGTCGGAATGGGACACTAGATCCAGACGATCCTCCCTTCCTACCCTGTACGAATACGAGAGCGATGGGGGCAGCTCGGCGCGCACCTTAGGTACCCAGAGTCACCATTTACAAACATCGCAATCCGCCACGACCATGACCGGTGGACAGATCGCCGGTCGTCCACGTCGACTAGGCGGTTCTATTCGTTCGCGAGGAGCCGGAGTTGGTAGTGAGGCCGATTTGAGATCGATGTCCGAGATAACCGTCCGTGATTTCGCCCGGATGGACAGAGACGACCTGACCAGCTTGAGCTCCTTCGAAGGTGCGGACTCGCTGGTCAGATCGCTCAGCCAACCCAGCTTAGCCAGATCGGGTTCGGAATTCACCGAGCACTGGGGCATGCCTTCTGGTATTCTGCCACCATGGGCGTCCGAACACGCGGAGGATGGCGTCAGTTCCGTGGAAACGACACCGAGAGCGATCAGAAGAGGTGACAGGATGGAGGTCCTCGCCTCCTTCGACGAGCACAGACGAGGTCCGTCCATCACGAGATCGAGTCGATACACCGAAAGGGAGCTCAGCGTACGCGTGACAGAAAGTCAGAGGGCCTCGGATTGGTTTAATGACAACAATTCCGAGCCGGAGATGCAGATCTGAACGCTTCCAAAACAGAACACAGAGATTCTCGGTTTTTACCTCAAATCTTTTAGGTACGGAGATGATTCCTGAATCTCGATGAAGGTCTGAATAGAATTATTAGGGATGAAAGTTGATAATAGAGTCAACACGTACCACTTGCAATTTATAAAATCAAACCTTGAGATCGTCTTTTTGTAATTCTTTGAGCAGTGAATCTTTTAATGTACAAGAAAATTGGTTATTTGAACCGATTAAGCTCAATTTTCAGCGCTATAAATAGCGAAAACACGAATTCATATTAATATATCAACATAATAATTTCGAAAAATTGACAATTTTTTAACAAATTCTTAATATAGGCAATTAAATAAAATTTAAATTCCGAGCTTCAGATTTTAAATTTAGAAATCTTTTTTTCTATAAATTTTAAATATTTTATCTCGTTTAATATTCAAATCAAAAAATTTGTGTTGTTCAGAAAGTTAAAAGAACACCGCAAACTTGAAAAAGATTAGTCGAGGGATCAGCAAAGTTTTTTTATTTTAATCTTTCGCAGCTTCATATTCTCTATTCTATTGCGAGCTACAATATAATGGATTATGATTTATACTGGCATCCGTTCGTATTTTTCTTGTAGGCACTATTTCGGTCAGTGTGACTCGCGCATTATGTGTATATGTACATTATGTGCCGCGTTTGTTTTGCTTGCAACAGTTTCAACTCGGGACGTCCTACTACATGATCGATATCTTGCCAAGAACGAGGCGCAATGCACACGTAGCAGCGGCGACGGGATAACGTTCCGCAGTCGTCATTGGGAAAATTCACTTTATTTGTGGCGACTAGCTTTCGCCGTTTCTTTCTTTCGTTCTTACATCGGTTATACAGCTGCTCTACTTTCTTCATGGCTCATGGCCGTTCACTGCCGATTTCGTCCTCAAGCCCGATAACTCGAGGACTCACGCTCAACCGCGCGAATACAGAATTGTCCCAATTTCGGGAATCCGTCTCTCCGACATCAAGATATTTCGCGATATCCCGAAACTCGGAGAATTCAGCCGCCATTCTCTTCACACGTCACTCGTAACGCGAGACGTGAATCGTGCTAGTTACTCGGTCTCGATATCGAGTGGGTCTGCAGATTCTGGCGAGAATACAATAAATACATGGACAGTTTGCGGAAATTAAACCATTAAAACCTGTATTGTCACTTTTGTTTATATATTGGTAGTTGTATTCAAATACGAGCAATTTTATTTGTAGTTTGCACGTTTCGTGAATAGAATTATTAGAGATTTCATGGCAAAATACATATCAGGAATACTTGAAAATTTTCAAAAGCTACGGGCTTCAATGGATTAATCGGCAAACATGTCAATCCACAGGGGACTAATGCAAGGAAAAAATTACAGGATGGGAAAAACGATAAATAATATAGCGTAATCGTATATGAGAGGATATATCGCCTGCGCGACGCGGCTTGTCCTCAGTTTCCAAACGTTCGATAGATCAGGAGATCTCTTTTGAAGATCGCAGGGAACAATACATAGCTCTCACGACTAAAACACCCCCGTTTTGCGGTACAAGTCTACTTGCGATAATAGTCTACTTAAATAGGTAATGAAACACACGGTGCTGGGTTATATGCTTCAAACGATAGCTAGAAAAGCTCTCTTCGAGAACATTTACCTAACCTCGTCCTCGCTCCTTCTCACCCCTCAAACATCCCTTCCGACTTAATGTAGGTATTTCGTCTGGAGTACCTGAGCTCGGCCGAGATACGTATCGACCGACAGGGTACGTAGATAGGTATATTTGTAATTATGTACTTTTATGGCTAATGTATATTCACACGTCGTGTGTAATTTTCTCGCTATCCTCGTGCAGTCATTAGAAGCTTATGAATCTTTCGAATCCTTGAGCTGCAAGACGGGAGGAAGAGAGAGAGAGAGAGAGAGAGAGAGAGAGAGAGAGAGAGAATTCGAAGCTTGCAGGTTCTATTAATATATCATAGCGTGATTATAGTTCTCGCAATAATACGTAAATCGCTTCGAAATTTCCTAGCTCGTTTGCCTCGGCGATCGTCATTTCCGAAACATTACCACCAAGCAATCATATTATCCTTCGCTTTGCTTATTAAAATTATCAAATGCCAATCATATGCGAATGCTTATTAAAATTATCAGACGCCAATCGTGAGCGAGGAAGATTGGAATAACGTCAAACTTCGAGCTTATCTTTAGAGAGATATTTGCGCAAATGTTTAATGCAGTAATGTGTATCGCAAGTTGCAATGTAGCAGTATCTATTCATATAGTCTCTTGTGGTATTGAAAATTCTCGATAGAGATCGTTTGTATTATTTTCAGGAAATGACGATTACAACAACTGTACACAACTGTACACAACTGTACGTTGCGTTATAATTTATACACGTTATAACGTTTAATTGTAATGCAAAATTAATACTATACTAGTGGCAAAACAATTGATACTACTTGCTATTCATACACAATTCAATGCGATCGACACACGAATAAAGAGCATGTTTTGCATATTCGATAGTTGAAGCTCGAAGCAATTGTTTGATGACGAAATCCGTCCAAGATCAAAGGAATCGATATTACATGCATGATATTACATTAAGCGCGTGATTTTCTACGAATTTTATAGAGCGTGATATACGTAGAAAACAATCACATTGTAGGCGGTTTTTTTTTATATGTATATGTAACTGTAAATCAAAATCGATAATAAATTTTGCATATTTTGAACGTCGAAAGGAATATCGAGACCGGCGTTAAGCGCACATGTAGAACGATGAATAAAACATAAAGTGCGCATGAAAAGAATATTAAGCGCGAATAATGGAGTAATAAATCATATCGAGAAATTACATGTAACAAGTGTTATCAACGTCAAAGTTTTTATCTCGACGTCTCTCGGGTTACATCGAGTTTTTAGGATGTCCTCTAACAAAGAATCGCTGTCGCGAACAGGATTCGATGTCGAAGAAAAGAGAAAGGACGTCTGAGATAAGAGAAATTAATGAAACGCTTGTATTTAACTTACGGAAATAACGGTTAACGTGAAATGGGAGTGTTAAAGCGACGCGTTGAAAGCTTTTATCGGGTGAAATAACGCGCTATATTGTTAGAAATTAACGTAACTAGTAACTCCTATATAGATGCCTCTTATCTATATATATTTTTATATCGAATTTTGTAATGGATCATCCGATCGTTCTCGACACGGATGTGCCCGTGTAATATTTCAGCCGAAAGTTTGCGGAAGTGCGAGTGAAATGAGTGCTACTAGAACTGGGACATAATGAAACGGAATCAGATTGAAGCAGAACAGAGGGAATTGCCTGGCGAAGGACGATGATACATTCGTTGTCACTGATCGATAAGCGGAGGATATACAAGTTCGAACTAAACTCCTAAATTATAATTCATAATAAATACTGACAGTCCACGAACCGCATTTGTTTGAGTGCGTTGTAAATCATGTAACCCTCGTCGCTTCATATTACTCTGTGGGAGATTAATTTACAGGGTTCGACGTGTTTTGTCGAAGTTATGATAAAATAGTGCAAGTTCAATCAGACCCGCGCGAAATAAATGGAAAATGTAATACGATCTTTGAGCGAGTTCGGAGAGCATGGCTATTAATAAAATTGATTACTAAAAAAAAAAAAAAGGTTTGTACATTCTTTTATTGCCGAATAAACTCAGTGTCACTTTTCACTTTACCGAAAAAATCCAGTGTATCGATACAGAGCATCGTCTTGTTTGCGAAAGGGATTATTGTTCCAATTTCAGAAGAACACTTTCTTCAGCGATATTATGCATTATAATTTTACTTAAGCAATATTAAACAAACTCAGACGGCTCGTGCGGAAAATCATAAAGTAATCTAAATTTCAATTTCAACGAATGTACGTAAAATGTAAATGTAAATATAAAAACAGGAAATGTATAGCTTTTAATTAAAATTGGATGTATTCGATACATGAAAAATTGAACTTATTCAATACATTTTTAAAATGCACATGCGCTCATGTAAAATTCCCGCAATACTATTCATCATTTCATCTCAGAGAAAAGGAAATAGCGCGAGATAAGTAAAAGGTAAGGAATATCATGCGGAGAGAGAAGAGATGTCAATACGAGAGAGGCGCAGAATCTTTCACGATAATCAGAATGCACCGCTTTCAAGAGCTCATCCGGGTTGCTCGCCTGGAACAATCGAGGGAGACGTCTAAATTAATTATAGAACTGAGGAAAGAATTCCGCAAAGAGGATCGCGGCTGATTCATCAAGATCGACAGCTGTAGCCTCGAGCGATCAAGGCGAATGATTCTGAGGTCACATTGAAAAAAGATGACAAAGAGAGGCAAAAAGAGAGAGAAAGAGAGAGAGAGAGAGAGAGAGAGAGAGAGAGAAGGGGGGAGAGGAAGAGGAGGGAGATAGATCACATGAGGGAATCTCTATAATTGCTTCGTGATGTCCTCCTTGATCGATCCCTCAGTGGAAAAAGACGCGAACGAGGCGCCCTGGTCTCCACCCAGCTTGGTCTCGCGCTGACTCGTGACGATATATGCTCTTGTTTTTCCGAAAACAAGTTCGCTTGTCCGAGTACCGAGTACGTACGTACTTTCCTTCTTCGACCATGCGGGGCGGATCGACGCATGCGTTTTTCTCGCGCGCCCGCGTACCCTTCGCGGGATTATCTTGGCCGTGAATCGAGCAGTCTTCCACGGTCGTTCCCGAGCTTGCTCCCGATCCGCGGGGGCGCGCGTTTTTCCTCCTCGAGAGGATCGCGCGACGAGCCTCACTCGAGACGCCCGAGGACAGCGGTGGCGTTGCGGAAAGTCGCGGAATGTCACATACGTATAATACATACGTATACCTATATATAAATACATCGATAATGAAATGATTCCGGAAGAGGTTGGCGCGGACACCAACCGTATCCGTGGGACACGTGCCGCTTAAAGGTAAGCGAGAGAATCACGACGAGACACGTTAACACGTTAAATGTTTATTCCTTCACATGAATGAGTCGTTAATATTATGAGTATTAATATTATTAGATGATTTCAAACGCTGTAATTTTTTTTTTAATTGATTGATGAAATTCGAAGAACGATTTTTGCGAAACGTGTAGGGGCGTTTTTACAAATCGCACGAGCGCGATTTTCTATCTCGTCACTTCGTTGTTATTTAGTTCAAAATAATTCGACACAATGGCCTTCTCGTCGCGTCGCAAACTAGGTAGGTTTATTCAAAGTGTATGTACTCGTTGCGAGATATTTTACCGTCGCGCGACACCGGTGCCGCGTCTGAACTATTTAAAAGGATGTAGAATAGATGCTCAAAGCGCATGCATGTTAATTACAAGTTATATGAGGTATATTCCATACAAGGAAACTCGCTTGCAACACCGAGTTTCACAGCGACGAGTAATTGCATTCAAAGTTATCCCGTGATTAATGACTATAATTACCCACAAAGAGCGTTAAACAAATTTTTTAACGAGTAGTTCAAACCAATGTTTCCAGATTTGACAGAATGAAAATGTTCACTAGATCCTTATACTCCTACAGAATTACTTTCGTATTAAGCTGAAGCAAAAATGCGGATTGTAATCAGGCCACATCGCTAACGATTATCTTTATAACGCGTACACGTGAGGCGTGCAAAAACTAAGTTTAACGATCAATAACAGCTTAACACGAACAGCTACAATGTCTCGTGCCGAAGCTGTAGTGCGTAAAAATTTTAATATTAATTAAACTTTATGACATTTTGCATATTTAAATCAAAAGTTTCAATTAATTGCTACTCGCCAGTGAAGCGACGATCACAGATAATCGATCTATTTTTTACGTAACGCCAATTAAAATTCATTTAGACAGTCAACACACAGTTTAATTAGCAAGACGTTTATCATCGAGTGTAGCAAGGTCGTAGCGGAATGGACGTAATGAATCAATTTGGAAACCTTCACCGAGAAACGAATCAATCTCCGAATTTGACGTATCAATTATCTATTCAATTTATTCTAATAAATTTCGCACTTCCAATCATCGCGAGGTCTGAAATATCTCGTATCTCTGCAGGGCTTTATACGTATTAAACGTATTAAACGTATTATACGGTATTATTCCACATTCACGGAAGAATAAATAGCGAAAAATAATTAAAAAAAAAAAAAATCGTTTCTTGGCGCAAACTTGTAACTCTCGCGAGAATCCCCAGGTGCGTGAGCTCGTGCATAACTGACGCGCTGTAAGGGCTGGTGCACGATTACCTCGTTTAAAGGGTAGGCAATCGTTCACGCACGGGTAACTTCGCGACGCATAGACACTACGTGCTGAACGCTCGAAACACGAAAGATCTCGCGAATAAATTTCCAAGTTACGTTCACGACTCGCGTCGCGCTGTTTATGCGAGTCTCCTCCGACACTGGCTTCGAATGACTGCGGACCAAGAATAACTTTGTGAGAATTTGTGAGAAATTAAACCTGTTATAATCTCAACTCTCTTCTCTCTATCGCGACGGAGAATTTTCTCTTATTTAAAATATTTAAAATTGATATTTATCACGTAAGTGGGAAAACGCAGTAAGAATTCTTCCTTCGGTCTGAATAATTTTGGAAGAACGCTTAAGAATGTTAATATAAAATGCAACGTAAAAATTCTCTTCCCGATATCAATAATTTCAATAAAAACGTGAATATAACGCTAGTACATATCAACGGAGTGTCTAATAATTTTCTTTTAGATTCAATAATAAGGTGGCCATCTGTCTTTTATTCTGTTATTATCTACCGTCAAAGAGGAGAGTGCGACAAAGAGGTTGTGGCAAATGTAATAATTTCAACAGTACGATCTTTATCGTTAGATACCGATATTCGCCTTTCGAAAAGGAACAAAGTGAGACGCACGGAAGATTCTCATTTCAGTGACAATAATCGCAATACGGAGTGGGACAGCGTTCGCAGCATCCACTCCATCTGTGACGGCCGTTAATTGACTCGGCGAGGCGCGAGCGATAGTTTAATAGCCGCGCGAATAGAGGATACTGCGGATGAGAAGGGACAAAGGGAGGAGGGAACATCTACGGCAAGGGATGACGACACGTCTACGTGGGGTGCCGAGAAACGATAGTGGGGCTAGATGGTGAGCAAAGCGGCAACGGACGACGCGAGTTATGGTGGCGAACGACGCCGGTGGATGGTGGGGTTGAAAAGCGACGCGGCCAGTTACGGTCGTACGGGATAAGCTCGTCGTGCACCTGCGATCAGTCGAGAGAGCGCGGAAAGTAGATTCGACGAGGATACCGGAACGGTCGCATCGGAGAACCGGAAGAATTCCGCCGAGACGATGGCGCCGGTCTTAATGAGATACCGTGAAGAGATCGAACGCGAATACGGGGGGATACGATTGGCCGAGACAAACGATATCCTTCTCCGTGACGGACGGAGAGAATTCGATTAACGAACTAATCTCTTTCGACGAACTTCCGCGAGAGCCACTTCCGCAAGAAACGAAGAAAAATCGTCCATTTATGCGTGACAGAGAGCGGATAGTCCCTTTGAATGAAAAGTTTCGGAGTCTTGCGTGTAATTGAGAGAGATCCGTGCTTATATCCCATAAATGTTTGTTGGAAAAACTCGAACTGGGATGCTGCCGCCTTCGCCGAACAAAGTCGTTGAAGATCCTTGCCACGAAGAACCGGATTTAGCGAGGATAAATTTCCTCGTGGAAGGAGATTACGCCAGTTGAATGGAGAGTCTTCTCGTTGTGAAAGGGACACAAAACTGTTTCGAAGAAAATTTCCGCTAATCGCGAACGTGAAAATCACAAGGTGGTACTCACGTACGTGATACCATTAACCGAAAGCATAGGATAGTCGTTCCAATTCGTTTTTCGTCCGACGATTAAAAAACATGGGGAACGGTCGCGTAACTGGATCGTGAACAACGTTGGCGTGACAGAGTGATATCGAAAATGAGTTCTCTACGACGAACGATCAATCAATCGATGAGGGAGGGCACGTCCACGCGAAGACACGCGTTATCCGGGCCCACTACGAAGAGCATGAAAAACGTCGCTCATACAAACGCGATGCCCGCTTCACCAATGCGATACAGGACCAAGTACGAGCTGCGAAGTATCAGTTTGGAGGGCAACAAGGTGCTACCATGGACTACGAGGTAAGCAAAAGTTCGTTTACCGATTTTCTTAAATATACGGAAAGAAGACTGTTTTGCCGAAGTATCTAAAAATTTATTATAGTTAGATATGCACAGATTTGAAATTTAATTTGGTTAGATTATTAAAGTAACTCGTTAGACTATCAAAATAATGTAGAACACTTAAATAACAGTTGATGACAGTGCGCTGTAAAATTTTAACATTTTAGAAATCAATTACAAAACGTCCTACGTACTTATTTTTGATGATTCTAATAAAATTGTTTTCAAGTTCTGTATCTATAGCTAAATTTTTAGATACTTCATTAAACTGTGTAGCGAAAAACTTTTCCTGCGTGTTGAGGCACATTTTTTAACTGTATCAAGCCTGCATCTAATGCGAATTAAAACACAAATGAAATTATTTATTTTTGTCTCTGGTTTTGCTGCTTTTATAAATTAATATTAGTAACAATAATGCGCGTAATTAATGTAAATATTAATAACTATATCATAAAATAGATTACATTTTCTCTCAAAGAATTACATATGTAGAAATTAAATATATATTTCGTATTAAATAATATAAAAATAAGTATAGATAATATTAAACACTTTTTTTTTTACAAACGTAATTTGTACGATCAAGTGGAAAATAAGTTGTTGCTGTTAATAAACCTCATCCGTGAATTATTCAAGAGTAAAAAAAACAGCTTGCGACGAAGGAAAACTTCGAAGAATAAGAGATTGAAACTTTCAGTCTTAATCCCAAGAACTGGCTCGATGCAGTTCGACTGTATGACGTGAGTTCACAGGAGCGCGTGTATTGTATAATAGTCTCTTCAACGAAATCAATTTTGTGTACTTCACCTTGAGTTGCCTTGTATTTGGAACAGATACTACCGACTTGAGAATTTAATGGTTCTGAGATTAGAGCATTAAAGACAGCACCAAGCCACAAGCGAACCAATCAATCCAGTATAAAGCCGAACAATCGCGGTCCTTGCAATTGGTTTACCACGACCGCTGCAGTCGCTTGCTGATATTGATTGATGAGCAAGAAGATTTCGATCCCCAGTGAGCGATATACACAAGTCCGCTTCCGCTTAATTATTTAATCGTAGAGACAAATTTCCGAGTCCCCCGTTCTAGAATTGCAAATCGCAAATGAATTGTTGATCGTCAAAGTTACGTTAAACGTTAAAATTATAACTTTACTCGAGAATATGAAATTTATATTGCAACTTTTATTACGTCATGTTCTCGCTATTAAAACAACGTTTTTAGACGATATTATTGTTATCGTGTTATTCTTACAAATTTAGGATTAAGAAAATAATATTAATTATACCCGCAACCCATCAAATAAATTTCTTATTCGTCTTAACCGACAAGACGGTTTCATTTTTCAATTTTGTTTGGATTACTTTATTTAATTACTTACATATTAAACTTAATATAATCGATATGATGTGAATAAAAACTTGCAGAATATTCGAATGACGTAGGTACGTTCAAGAGTGTCCTAATCGTAATATTATTGCTCCGCTAAGAAATTCTTCCGATTTATTTTTTCTCATAATACGAACGTATACATTGTCAGTGGCTGGAATTTACTTGGAAGATTCAATAGAGTTGTTAACTACCGATAATAATATACGCACGATATTACGTTTTTATTTCGCTAAAAAATTACACGACACATCGTATATTTCTACTGTGCTCAACTTTTGCGAGCAATGTCGGTTGTTTTTGTTCCCAAAAACGTCACTGCGCATTAATACTGCTTTGATTGTCCCGAAAGGAATTCGGCGGAAACTTTTTAATTAGTGAGCATTCAAGCGAGTGATGACTTTAAAACTTAATCAGTTTCGTAATCTCGATTGATCGAATGGAACGTTAACCGTGCTTCTTAATTAATTGAGCCAAAGTCAACCCATCGTGCGAATGCCATCGATGCTCGATAAAGCCGACTGCGATAATCGGCAATGAACGCACAAATTGTAGTATGCAAAATCCGAGGCGGATGCCGGACGCTCTTTAATCTCCCGGATGACGACGTATATAAATCCGCGATACAACACGTATTAAACGGTTACGAATGCAAATTTATAATGCCGTACGATGTACGAGCAACTGGTTGAAAATAATTTGAAGGGGTCTTGGAAAGAGAAAGAGAGAGAGAGAGGGGGGGGAGGGAGAAGGGGGAGAAAACGAGAATGATATGCGACATCGTGCGGATTATTCTTGGCGTATCATTCGATTACACGCTGTCAGAGCACGTGCCAGATACAGTGTACCATAAAGATATACCGAAATGATAGACGGTCCCTTCTCTCGGGATCCACCCCATTATTTCAGATCCATTTGCAAAGTTAACGCGCAAAGATTGTCGCGTTATCGTTCGGGTTCCAATGCGAGTGCGCGCGACGCTCGAGCGTTCGCATCTCCGACATCGATTTTTAATACGTTAGCTACAAGCGCATTAATTAGCTCTTCTTAACGACTCGAGCGTGTCTGAATTAATTCCGCATCGGAAGATTTTTCGTGATGTAATCGAACGGCGACGTTGGGTTCGACTGTTGTATTTTATGTCACATAATCTTCGATTTATCTCTCAAGTGGAAAGAAAGTCTCAAGTTAATGGAAACAAAGAGAAGAGAAAATTGTGCGCGATGATGTATTTCGGGGGAGGGGAAAAGAGATGTCCAAAGTTAAACACTAATTTTCGAATATTGGAGAGATGTACAGTTTCAAACAATTTGTAACAAATAGATAGTATGTGAAAAGAGATATTATTAATAAATTTTGTTATTAAACTCCGAATATTGAATATTCAATAGCGACACACAATTCGTTACTGCGGTCCCGTTGATATAATTAGTTATAATTTACATTATTTATAATAACGTTTTATGATTCATGTTTATTTAATTGTGTCTGGATGTATATTACAATTAGGATATCACATTACGAAAATCGTAGCGACAAGATATTCCCTCGCTGTTCCAATAAATTCTACTATTTTCGACTATTGTGTTATACGTGGGATAGTATCGTACTTGAATCGTACAAAATTTAATTGCTTTATCTGGCAACGGAGCGTTCAAGCGAGACACTGCCTTCTTTATGATCCACTTCGTTTCTCTTATGGGATAATGAGATTAACCTCCCCTGCAAAGACGCGTGAACTACCGAAAGCAGGTATGTTTCGCCATAAAAGGTTCCTCCTCTGGCGTCACGATGTTATAATGTCATCGGAAAAAATTCCTTTCGCATATGTGCGCTTATCATCAAAGATGTAATAAAAGCAGCCATTCCTATGAAGTTGTCTATCGGTTTAAAAAGAGTGAAGTGCTGAAGCATTAACATCTCTCTCTCTCTCTCTCTCTCTCTCTCTCTCTATAAGATATCGAATTGAAAAGAAATACTATTCAATTCTTTCTAACATTTATACACTTATTACATCTATGCTTATCATATATTTCTGGTAATTCATGCTAGGATATTATAGGATACTTGAAAAAACTCGATTCATCGAAATTCCGTCGATATTCCTTAATCAATAGACTTGACAGCTTCGGAAATGTTTCCCGAGACATCGATTTGTGGTATTATTATCTAAAGTTCTAGAGGAATATTTCTTAGTCTACCTCGAGAATACTTCGCTTACACTTTGTTAAGCATAGTAAAAAGATCTAAGAGAAAAAAAAAAATTAAATAAAAAATCCTATGTGTGTGGGTGTGTGTGTGTCTTTACTTTTTGCTAATATTATATCTTAACAAATACAATTTCTAAATGCGAATTTTCATTTGAAACAACCCTGTAAAACTATGCGAATATTTATAGCTTTCGGTGAAAATCTTCACAGAACCACACACTCGCGAGATCAGGCAGCAGTTCATAAAGTACTAATTATAAAAGAGACCGGTCTGGAAGCAATTCCATTACTGATATTAATCCAAGAGGAATTATACCAGCAGCAACAACGCGATATCTCGCCAGCGAGTGGCTCCGCGATATCGGATTTCGGTGCCTCGCTCTTTATAATTAACCCTTTTGCTATTGGACTCTGGACCGAGTGTTCGTTGCCGCTCTTTTGTGTCAAGCCGATCAGTCTCGATCACGCTCGATCGAGTGGAAGTCGACCGCGGCATCTCGATGGCGAACGTAGGGGCATCGGGGCGAGGTGGAAATATGGAGCACATATAAGGGAGGCGAGAGTGAGGCGACGGCGAAGGGATGCGGGGTGAGAACGGGGGAAAAAATCCGCGAGGAAAAACGGCATTACACGGTTAGCCAGGTGGATAGTCGGTATCGGGTGTTAAACCGATGGCATTATGGTCGCGGAAGAACTCGGGCGTTTTCGATGACCCCAGTCCGCGAGTATATCGTTCAATTACGTCACCGCGTTGGTGGCCCGCATTCGAAAGCACGGTATATCGATTTTGTCGATGCATAACAAGACTTTCGTAGGTTGCGACGACGCGCCAACCTGACCGTCGCGGACGG